AATTCTGTCCACGTTTTACAAGTGCTATAGTAATTGGAGTCATGGCTTGTTTGAAGAAATCGCAGACCTTTGGGACGGTCTAAACTTGTTGGGCACGTCCGAAAAGTGACACATATATGCCGTGAAACAAACTTCATTGGTATATAAGCGTTCTAGTAAGTAGCTCTAATCGCTAAATTATTAAAAATTTTAATTTATATGAGATTTGTAAATTCTATGGCAATACAGTAGAATATATGCAGCCCTGTACATACTCGTAACTTACCTGACGTACAAAATTAGAAGTTGTAATTGAGCATGGTGCTTGCTCACTCTTAAAAGAATAAGTTATGAGGCTTACTTGGGCAGTTCATATATAACTCCAATCGAAAATGTAAAGTTAATGTGGTAGTTCAAAAATATGGCCGCGGTAAGGTTTTCAATGCACAAACAATTCTACTGCATAGACAAACGTAATGGCATGCAGACATACTGAGACTTACCTAAAGTCAGACGTAAAACGTAAATAATACTGAATGGGTTATGGAAAATATTTCGCTCTATAAACGTCTCACTTAAAGCATTCCTACGTTACTCGCACGTTTATGGCTGCTTTACGCAAGGGGACAACCCCCCAAAGTGCGAGGTGCTTCTTCCTCGGTCTCGGTGTGTTTACCAACGAACAAGGACGTGTTGTACTCATACGTTTCAATAATTTTTAGCGCTTATGTGCACTGTGATAGAGTACAATTATGACCAGAGAAAGTACAAGTCATGGAAGAAATAAATCAAGATCCATAAATCTAGAGATGAAAATAAAAATTATAAAGAAATATGACGGTAGACAAAGTTTTATAGCAATAAGACATGGTCTGGCTTTCACACCAGCAACAGTGAATTATTAAATGAAGAACTCATTCAGTTAGAAGCGGCAACATTTCTCAACCTGAAACTTTGAAGCGAGAAAAAATATCTCAATGTTTGATGAATATATGACGATTGCCTTCCGTGAGATTTTAGCAGGGCTGTCATTCAGGACTGGAACATGCATACGAACGCTTCATGGTTCTTGTTAGTAAAAAAATAAATTACACTTTAGACTGATATCGAGTGATTTATGAAGAGAAGAATGAAGCATCGTTCGTTTAGCTCTTGATAATTTAGTAGGGAGGGCCAAACGCCAAAATTAAACATTTTCCATTTTGATGGTTTAATATCCTGTATACTGTACTATGTTATTTAGAATTAATAATTGCATATTGAAATTTAATTTGTGCGATAATTTTGTGAATAAAGCTAGCAGAAATATCCTTTAAAACACGTCAATGTACTGCAGTATATGCACTAATGTACATACTGTAGTACCAACAAATATGCTAAGCGAAATGATTAACGGGCGATTTGAGTTAAAATGACTGAGGAACGTAACTATTACGCTTTTATTAAGCTTAGGTCTGTCTCACTTCCACACAATGCCAATACGACATATTATTTTACTTACCAGTTCCACAGTCGGAATGCGAATACGTGCTTCCACAGACCTGTAAGCAAACGTTTGCAGGATAAACAGAGACAACAGCTGGCTCGTGCTCGTACCTTGCACATGGATTTTTCGCATATATTCTAAGAAGAAACTCGGCTTCTTCGTTTGGAGCGAAGGTGGTAGGGAGGACGACGTAACGACCCGGATCAAGGCGCAAACGGAAGCAGTTTTCTCGAACATTCCTGTACACGAAGTTTCCATCGACGGGCTCATGAGTAAGAAAAAATTCGTAATCCAGACGACGATTAAACAAACTGACGTCATCCACCTCAACCGCACAGGAGAGTTATTAGGGAAAACAAACGAATACAGAAATTAAAGTCGATGATATAATGAGATATCCGTTGGAAAACAACTGTGAATTAATCACCCTTTGATTGGGTCACATACCAGTTACCGTAATATGATCATTTCGTACAGACCAGTACCGCAGTAGTCAGTGACAGTGTATTTCGTTACAATGGAGAATGCAGAAATGTTGCCCCAGCGACGCCGTTGCATGTATAAATACGTACGTACGTACATACATACATACATACATACATACATACATGCATACATACATACATACATACATA